GAGGGATGAAGCATCGGCCTCCGCAGTGGGGTGCCCTGGGTCCCCCGCACACAGTAAGCAAGAAGCAGGTAAGAAAGCGTCAGGAGCCGCGACCTCAGCCGCATCCACCCGTGGTCCTCAGAGAAGTCCCCGTCCTTGGCCTGGTGCTTAGGACACGGCCCTCTTGGCAGGTCATGGGTTGGTGTCCTGGGAGGTGGTCAGTTACAAGACGGGCTTGGCCTCTGATGTGGTCACTGTCTGGGGTTATGGCCTAGGCCACATGAGGCTCTGGGTTAGAGAGTGTGGTGTTTTCTGTGGTGCCATCCTCACTCTGGGAGAACTTGAGCATCTGTCTGCAGTGAAGGCAGAGCTGTGAGCTGTCAGAGGAAAGAGCTATGGGGGGCAGCTGGACCCTCGTGCCCACCACAGGGAACCCACTTCTGCCAGGGTAGACCCAGCAGCTGGGCAGCCCAGGGCAAGTCTTGCTGCCTCCATGGGCTTGCAGGGTCACATCTGTAAAGGGGGTGACTTGAGTGAATGACGGATGGAGGCAGGAACGTGCTACTGGCTGAGCGCAGGGCATGGCAAGCCTCTCTTCTGTGGCTCCTTCCAAGTCCCAGGGAGATGATGCCACAGTTCTGCAAGCTGGTTAAAAAAAGGAAAGGGGAAAGGGAAGCTGGTCTGCCTCCAGCCCTACACCACCCCCAGTTCTTTGGGTGGCCACCTGGGTTAGGTGGGTGAGGCTGTCCCACTGCATCCTAGATAACGGTGACATTAGCCCATGTGGACAGGGCCATCCACCAGAGCTAAGGGCTTAACCATAAAATGTCATTCAACCCCCCACGGGCCCTATCACTTCCCTGGCACCGATGTAGAAAAGGCCACCCCACCTGCGAGCAGTGGGGACTCAGGCTGACCAGGGCTCATCTCACCACTGCGCTGCTATGCCCGCCTCTTAGGAGCCTCGTCCCTTCCCTTCAGAGCCACAGACCCACACTGGGCCCTTCCCGGACTCTGCCCCGGCCTGGGAGGGTGTTTGGGACCCAGTGACTTTCCCCACAGGGCCCAGGCTTCAAGGAGCCCCTTGTCCTGCCTTGCTCTGGCTCCCCGAAACCCCAGACGCCTCTCAAACTGCTTTTGAGGTTTCCTGCAGAAAAACATCCTTCAAGCTGCCTTCGGTTCTTATTAAGTCAGCAGCCCCAGGAAGGAGGCGCTGGGCTCTGCCCGCCTCTCCTCTCCTCTCCTGTCCCTGCCGGCCCTTTCATCTCAGGGAAAACATCCCAGTAAGACAACGAACATCAACTCAGCCCGAGTTACCAAGACAATGGTGTCCTGGGAGGTGGTCAGTTACAAGACGGGCTTGGCCTCTGATGTGGTCTCTGTCTGGGGTTATGGCCTAGGCCACATGAGGCTCTGGGTTAGAGAGTGTGGTGTTTTCTGTGGTGCCATCCTCACTCTGGGAGAACTTGAGCATCTGTCTGCAGTGAAGGCAGAGCTGTGAGCTGTCAGAGGAAAGAGCTATGGGGGGCAGCTGGACCCTCGTGCCCACCACAGGGAACCCACTTCTGCCAGGGTAGACCCAGCAGCTGGGCAGCCCAGGGCAAGTCTTGCTGCCTCCGTGGGCTTGCAGGGTCACATCTGTAAAGGGGGTGACTTGAGTGAATGACGGATGGAGGCAGGAACATGCTACTGGCTGAGCGCAGGGCATGGCAAGCCTCTCTTCTGTGGCTCCTTCCAAGTCCCAGGGAGATGATGCCACAGTTCTGCAAGCTGGTTAAAAAAAGGAAAGGGGAAAGGGAAGCTGGTCTGCCTCCAGCCCTACACCACCCCCAGTTCTTTGGGTGGCCACCTGGGTTAGGTGGGTGAGGCTGTCCCACTGCATCCTAGATAACGGTGACATTAGCCCATGTGGACAGGGCCATCCACCAGAGCTAAGGGCTTAACCATAAAATGTCATTCAACCCCCCACGGGCCCTATCACTTCCCTGGCACCGATGTAGAAAAGGCCACCCCACCTGCGAGCAGTGGGGACTCAGGCTGACCAGGGCTCATCTCACCACTGCGCTGCTATGCCCGCCTCTTAGGAGCCTCGTCCCTTCCCTTCAGAGCCACAGACCCACACTGGGCCCTTCCCGGACTCTGCCCCGGCCTGGGAGGGTGTTTGGGACCCAGTGACTTTCCCCACAGGGCCCAGGCTTCAAGGAGCCCCTTGTCCTGCCTTGCTCTGGCTCCCCGAAACCCCAGACGCCTCTCAAACTGCTTTTGAGGTTTCCTGCAGAAAAACATCCTTCAAGCTGCCTTCGGTTCTTATTAAGTCAGCAGCCCCAGGAAGGAGGCGCTGGGCTCTGCCCGCCTCTCCTCTCCTCTCCTGTCCCTGCCGGCCCTTTCATCTCAGGGAAAACATCCCAGTAAGACAACGAACATCAACTCAGCCCGAGTTACCAAGACAACCTTCCCTGTCCACCGCTGGCAGGAAGCGGGGAAGGCTTGAAGGGGAGACCCCCGCCCCTGCCCTCCCCCTGCCCCGCCTCCCCTGGGCCCCACCGGGAGAGGCCAGGCTGCGGTTGGCGGAGGGACCTCCGGCACCCCGCCACGGGCTGTCAGCCTGGGTGCAGGCCACAGCTTTCATCTGGGAGATGCTGCCTTCGCTGCTGGTTTGATTCTCTCGGGTTCCCGTGGCAAGATAATTGAGGAGGGAGTGACCGGAGATGGACCAAGATCCTCTCTGCTGCGGAAAAGCTCAGTCACGGCCGCCGCCTCCTGCTGCCTCATCTGGCCCAGGCCCGAACTTGGGGGGCCAGGGCCCTGGGGAGGGACAACACAGGGTCAAGACCAGGGGCCTGGGGGGTCAGACTGGCCCGAGGGTGAAGCCCAGCTCCTCTGTTCCTAAGCTGTGTGACTTTGGGCACACTTTGACCTCTCTGAGCCCCAGCACTGACCCGATACCAGTTACTGCCTTCACGGGCTTATTGATAAGGTCAAATGAGAGCGTGCAAGTGAGACTGTGGAGAGCCTCTCCCGGGAGGCTGGCGCCTCGAAAGCGCTCAGTAAACCAAAGGTGTGGTGTGAATGCCAGCTCTGCTTCCCACCCTGCCCCAGCCTCCCATGGGTGGGGCTCAGGAGGGAGCTGCCCGCAAGGAAGGGGACAGACGTTTGGGCAGAGCTCAGGGTGCCCCAGGCCCTGCTGGATGCAGGCAGCCACTCTGCCTGGGAGGGAGCATTAGGACCCTGGTTTTGGTTTGTTTAGGAGTCGAGGCCCTGGGGGTGAGCAGCTGGCTAACAGCAGGGGCTGGAGGGCAGACCGGTGGAATCCACCTCCAGGCTAGTGTGACCTGAAGCCCACGGTCTCTGAGCTGCCCAACGTCTCACTGCTTCTGGAGCAGCAGGTGCAGGATGTGCACATGGCGGAAGTGGGGGAGCTGGGGGTCCGCATCACACTGCAGCCCTCAGAGAGGCCATGTGCCTCAGGTTCCCTGGGGCAGCCATGCTTTCTCCCCTCCCCCACGCCGTCCTTGTAGTGACCTCAGGACCGTGACAACAGCCCTGGGAGACACCCAGAATCCAATCCCGTCCCTAAGTGTCCTCCAGGGTGGTGGCCCTAACAGAGAGGAATAATACGAAGAGCTGAGCAGAGAATGAATCGGTGAACCAACCAGCTGAGTCCCGTCAGCCCAGCCTTGGGCACGTGCGAGGGCTGAGGGCACATCTGGCGGCCAGGAGCCCCCAGAGAGCCCAGCGCTGTGGGGCTCCCGGACCCTCGCAGGAACGTGCTGGGATGACATTCAGCTAACTGAGAGGGTGACCCCCAGACTCTGGGGGTGGTAAATGGGCTCCGTGCTGGGTTAGCATCTTTCAGCCCCAAGAAGTTTTGGGATTAGAGATAGACACGTTTGTGAGCGTTCAAGCAATATACTAATATCTTTGTCTTCAGTGTGTGCAGGTGGTGTGGTTAAAGAATATTTTGCTGATTAAACTATACTAGTCTAGCCTTGTGGTTCAAATTTAAAATATGAAATTGAACATTTGATTTAGACTTGGGGTTTTAATTACACTCTTAGGAAATTTGTAAATGGTGCTGGAATTCCCTGTATTTCTACATTCAGTGTGTTAGATGTACCAAAGATGTACTTAAATCTGTAGAGAGGCTGGTTTCTCAGTCAGACCACTGATGTACTTAAAAAAACACCTGAATATTTTCAATTTATTTATGCAGTTTAAAATGTTTAAAGGAGCTTAACTAGTTTTGTAAATGCGACCAAACAGGAGTCAAATGACCCTTAAAAGGGCTTGTTCAAATGTGCTAAATTTATAAATATATAAACAGAAATAGAACAGGATGATATGTAACGTGAACTTAAAAGCTTAAGAAAAAATGGCATTTTGAATGTGTAATATTCATGAATCTAATGTTAATGTGTAAAATCAAAGTCATTGTCTGGGTAATCTTTTCTGTGCACAAAAGCCACCCCAGGGAGCACCAGTCCACTCACAAAAATACATTCCTGCGCCCTTTCAAAACTTATCCTCCTGGGCACCCCACCTGCCATGTCCCTTCCCAGGAGGTGACAGACTCGGCCGTTGTCTCGGCCTTGTGGTTAATGCGCTGATTAAATGTCTGGCTTTGGTGGGAAACATTAGGTCTTTGATCCAGGCCTTGGCCCATAGGTCTCTAATGATGGGGGCCGCCCTGAGGCCTTTGGCTGATCCCCCATTCAAGGGGGAAAAGATCTGATTCATCCAGCAGCATCCAGGAAGTATTCAAGGTACCAGATGAGGTGACACTGCTATGGTGCTTGTTACATGCCAGATACTAACTTGTGTGATCACCATAGCAACCCATCTGACAGATGAGGAAACTGAGGCGCAGAGCTGGTGAGTGGCAGAGCTGGGTCTTGGCCCCAAAGACTCCGGCTGTGGCACCTGTGCTCTCCATCAGCCGAAATCTGTGGGGGAAATGTACTTTCAACAGACAGTACGTAATGGTTTTATAATCAATTACACTCATGGTCAATGTTTTGCAGGCAAAGGGCAGGAGCTCAGAATGCACATAGCAGGAAGATGTGGGCTGGTCTGGAGACACGGGAGACCAGGTGGGTACAGGGGAGGAGGATGGGGGGCAGGCTGGAGGGGTACCAGGCCTGGGCTGGGCAGCGGTTTGTGAGTGTGCCCTGATGTTGGACTTTCTCCTGAGAACAACTGGATGTGACAGAAGGGTTCTAAGCACAGAAGAGACATGGCTGCGCTCATGTTTGTAAGCCACCTGTCATGGGAGGGTAGCTGGAAGGGACAGGGAGACCAGACAGGGGCTGCAGAAGGTGTCCAGGTGAGGGGGCTTGAGACACCTGAGACTGAGCCGGGTGGGCGCATGGAGAGTTGTTTAGGGGGCAGCCTGGACAGGCTGGCAAGGGTGGGCTTGGGGAAGGACTGGGTGTCAAGGAGGACCCTCAGGGCCAGGCTGAGCCAAGGACACCTCTCCACAAGGAGACCCTGGCCTGCCACCCAGAGCTCCAACTCAAAGGCCTCCACCAGTTTGGGGTGCAGCGGGGCAGGCTGCCCAGGACGAGCATGGCCGAGGGGCCCACTGCAGCAAATCGGCCTCAGCCAAGCCCCCCGGCGTGGCCCGAGGTGCCCTCGCCGCGACCTGAACCGCTTAACTTCCCCCAGAGGAGTCCGGGTAATTCAGTCTCTGTGTTTACTCCCGTGGTGAGCGCCTCTGAATCTTTCATCTTGACTGCTGACTGTATCAAAATTCCCGTGGTAATTGGATCAGGTGCAGTATTTTCCATGAGGATATTAAATCAGGCCTTCTGCCCGCGTCCAGAATGATCCGTTTCCGAATATAAAGACGCAGGAGGTACCATTACCCGAGGTGTTTTTCCTCCTTTAGACTTTCTCCCCCACCACCTTAATCATGGCAGCTCTTTATCTGTTGCCAACTGGGGAGGCCGCCCTCCCCTACCCCAGTTGTTAGGCGAAGGACAAGAAAGATTCTTGCAGTTGAAGAAGGAGGCAGGGGCAGGGGCGCCCAGGCGGTGGGGCTCAACGGCCACTTCCCCTCCCCCAGCCTCTGTGTCAGGCCCCACGGGGCCACCTGGGGAGGGGATATGGAGCCCCGACAGCCAGCCTTCAAGGAGAGTCATTTTGACCATGGGTAAAACACTGTAGGAGAGAAGCTCAAGGGCAGCCAGGCTCAGGGTTGGGAGGGCGTTGACAAGAAACTCCAGAGGTGTTGTTTAAAGAGAGAAAGAACCTTAAGGTCCCACCGGAGGTTGATGAGGCCACGACAAAGGGCTGTCATCTGTGGTTACACAGCAGCGTGAGTGCAGGACATGCCACCAAATTGTACCTTTAAAATGGTTAATTTTGGGGCATGTGAATTTCACCTCCATTTTTTTAAAGTGCCTCTGTCACCATGCTGTGTTACCCGACACCGACTCATTTCAATTGTTCAAAGCAGTGATGGAGCCTCTGTTCTGCGCCAGGCACTCGTGTAGAGCCTGAGGATGTAACAGCGAATGAAACCCAGGTCCTGCCCCCAGAGGGCCGGCATCGGTGTGGGGGTGACAGACAGCAGTGTGCGGAGTGCTGGGGTGGGAGGGTAACAAAGCAGGGAAGAAGGGGGGCAGCGGGGAGAAGGGGGGCATGGCCAGGGAGGTGTGGAGGCAGAGACAAGTGTGGGGGGGCCAGGGAAGAAGAGCTGGGGAAGGACCGAGCACAGTAGGGTCCATCAGGACCTCAGCTCTTACGCTTAGTGAGCCAGGAGCTGTGGAAGGGTTTTAAGCACAGTAGGATCTTGACCCAGTAACAGGGTCCCTCTGGCTGCCAAGTGCAGCATGGACTGCAAGGGGCAGGAGCTGGCCTAGGGACCCCAGGTGGGCCCCTAAGGCTGTCATCTGGGTAAGAATCAGTGGTGGAAATATAAATTTAAACCACAAAGGAATCCCAATATTCAGCTACCAAAATGGCTAGAACTGAAGATAAGACAAAGCCAAGTGGTAGCACGCACCTGGAGCAACTGAAATTCTCACACGTTGCTGTGGCATACAAAATGGCATGGCCGTTTTGAAGATGTGCTTGGCAGTTTCTGGTAAAGTTAAACATACATCTACCCTATGACCCCACATTCTGCTCCCAGCCGTGTACTCAAGAAATGAATGCTTATATTCATAACAGACACACACAAGCATGTTCATAACAGCTTTATTCACATTCTCATAGCCCCAAATAGAAACAAACCAAATGTCCATCTGCAGGAGAGCTCATGAACAAACTGTGGTATACTCGCACGATGGAATACCGCCCGGCAACGAAAAGGAGCTCCTGATACACACACTGACTCAAAGGATCTTGTATACGTTAACGTCAAACAAACAAGAAAACAGGCACAAAGGAGTACCTATTATATGACTGCCTTTTTCTGAGGTGCTAGAACCTGTGAGACGACCTAAGGTGATAGAAACAGTTTCCTTTGGAGAGATGGTAACGGCAAAGAGAGAGCCTAGGGAGATTTCTAGGGTGACAAATGATCTTTGCCTTGAACCTGGTGGTGTTTTTACATGTGCATACACATGTAAAAATTCATCAAGCTCTATACTTATTTATGTATTTCACTGAATATAAATGATACCTTGGAAAAAATAACTGGTGTAGAGAGAATGGGGCTTCAACCAGGTTGCCAGTGTGGTAGGTGGGCAGGTGAGGGGGTAGAGTGCCTGGAGAAACCTCCTTCCCTCCCTGGGTCACTGCATTGGATCCTGGGCACCACATAACACCAGCCACCTCCTGCCCTTTCCCATGGACCCTACCCCTTACGTCAGGTGGAAGCAGCCTGGGTGAGCAGTTGCCTGTCTTGATGGAGGCAGGTGGCCTGAGGAGGCGGTTATTTATTTTGGGGGTCCAGCCTGTTTGTCTAATGGGGGAGGGGCTGGCAGCAACCATCGTGGGACCAGATTCCTGATTATAACTTCATAACGGGCACTGGCTATTCGGGAGGCACTGATATTTATGGAATAAATACAACGCGATTTATGGCCGTATCTCCCTCTGATGTCCCATCTGATATGCAATTCAATTTCTTTTATTGTCTTTGGGCTTTTGCCATGGAGGAGAATGCATAAATAAATAAATATATGGGCAAATGGCAGCCGGCAAGCCGGGCAGGGGCTGCCAGCCCTCTATCTCTGGTCCCACATTAGGACCATCGATCACGCGTTATGAAGCCGGAGCCTGTCCCCCGGCTGGGATGGGGAGCAGACGTGCCGGTCACTCCCTGTTATTTAAGGGCCTCTGTTGGCAGGTTGCCCTGCCTGCCCTCTGCTTGCCACCAGACGTGGGGTCCCTACTCAGGACCTGGGCCTGTGCTGCTTGGCCACACTTGCAGGGACCCTAGAGGCCCAGGTGCCCCAGGTCTTCTGTGGGTGGAGAACGCTGCAGACTCTGATGTGTGCCCTGCCTGGCTCTCCCATGGGAACCCTGTGCCAAGCAGCCCAGACATGCTTCTGCTTTGGAGTCAAACCACGTCTTCAAAACCAACCTGGCACCTCTGAGTCCTGGGAGCCTGGGTAAGTTTCCTATCCCCAAGTCTCACCTCCTCATCCAAGATTGGAGGCAGTAGCAGCCTTTACTCCAGAGTTGTTTAGAAGATCGTGAAGGCCCTGCACACAGCTTGGGGTGCAGGAGTGGGCACCCACTTCACACACTACTGTATGAGGCCTCTTCTGGCGGGGACACAGGGGCTCAGTGGCTGGGGCCTGGTGTCATCCTGACCCAGAGCCCTGCCTCCCACTGAGGGACAGGACCCGAGCCTGTGCAAGGAGATGGCTGGAGAGCCCTGGGGCCCAGCTTCCAGGCTGCCTGCCATCACCACTCTCTGGCCCCATCTCAGGTGCACTCCTGTGCCCCATAATTTGGGTGATCTACAGCCCCCCTTCCCTTGCCCCTTGGGGACTATCCCCAAGAGTGCTCCCAACCTGTGTCTCCCTGTCCCAGTGTGGGCTCTGAGCTCTGCTTGCCCCCAGAGTCGCCAGGCTGAGGGGCTCATGGCAATCCTGCAGCTGCGGGGCTCCCAGGACACATGGGCCTCCCTCCCCGACCAGCTCCAGTTGCTGCTCCTGCTCCGGTTCACACCATGTAGGTACACACATGGGAACAGACATCCCCCCCCACACACACTCACACCACACCCACACCACGTGGGTACACACATGGGAACACACACACTCACACCATGTGGGTACACACATGGGAACAGACACACACACACCCCGCACGGGAACACACACACTCACACCATGTGGGTACACACATGGAAACAGACACATACCCCCCTCAACAGGAACACACACACTCACACCATACCCACACCATGTGGGTACAGACATGGGAACAGATACACCCCCCCCACATGGGAACACACACACTCACACCACATGCACACATGTAAGCACACACACTCACCTCCCCACACACATGCCCCCTGCACACACCATGCACACCCACACACAAACCCAGATGGAAACCCGACAGCTCCCAGCACACATCTGAGACGCGATGCAGCCCATAAAAGGGGATCTGCAAAGGACTTCTCCTTAGAAGAACGACTCTCCTTGCTGGGGCAGGTCTCTGGGTGTGGTGGGGAAGGTCAGTCCCGGTCAGCAGGGGTGTGTCCATGGGGGTGCGCCTACCCGGGGTGAGGGGAACTCCCTAAATGCTTTGGGAGGGAATTCTAGTCAGATGTCGTGCTGTGCAGTCCTAAATGTGGCTTGTCCTGGGAGCTGGGGTGGGGCGGCAGGCCTAGGAGACTGCTGAGCAGATCAGAGAGCTGAGTTCAAATGCTGCCTGGCCCCCCAGCCGTGTGACACAGGGGGAGCTCCTTTGCTTCCCAGAGCCTGTGTGCTCGTCGGAAGCGTGGAGCCGATGCTCCCTGGAAGGAGCAACCTGGCGGTTTTGTAGTTAGGTAGCCACGCACAGGGCCTGGGGTGGGGGACTAGGGTCACCCCTCCAAGGGGCGTCTTCTAACTCCCTAGCCCCATGGCCACCACCACCTGAGGGGGGCCCACCGTGCCCTACACCCTCCTGGGGGAGGCATAGATTTGACAGCCTTACCTTTTTATTTTCTATACTCCCTGTGCTTTGGCCCCCGAACAGGCCCCAGCAGGCGGCATAAATTTCCCACACCGGCACAGAGCGCCATTAGCGCTGGCACAGGGAATGCTAATCGGCTCCTCGCGGTCCCAGGCTGAGAATCCCACCTTTCCCTGACATTTGTAAAGTTCACGTTTTCAAAATAAAGCCACGTGAAGGGTGAGGTGCCCATAGATCACTTCCCTGTCACAGGCTCGCCAGCCCCTTCCCTGCCCTTGGCCTTCACCTCCCCTTTAAAGGGCCAGCATGCCGGGAGAAGAGCCAGCCGGAGCCTGGGCCTCATGCAGACTCATGCAGATCCCTTTCTCCTTCCCTCCCACCTGCTTTCATATATTCTCTTGTTCATTCACTCCCTGCTATTTCTGAACCACCTTGCCCAGAGTGTATGTCAGAGACAGGGCAGGAAACTGCAGGACTGTTGTCCTCTGGGACTAACAATCTAGGGAAAGAGGGACTTGAAACTAATCACAAGTGTTAGAAGCGCCATGAATTCAGGGGATGGGGCTACAGGGAGGGCTTCCTGAGAAAGTGACATCATCCTGAAGCCCGAGACCTTGAGGAGGAGCAGAAGTCAGGCTGGTGAGAAGAGGCACAAAAGCATTTCAGGTGGAGGAACTGGCAGATGCAAAGGTCCTGGGGTAGGAGGGGACTTGGCATGTCTGAGGGTCTGGAAGAGGCTGGCCGATGAGGTAGGAGTTTTGGGGTTTTAGGAGTTGAGGCCTGAGAGGCAGCCCTTGCCTGAGGGCACCCCTCCCAGGTGGCCCAGTCAAAGACCCGCATGCCACTCTCATTCTCCCCTGTCCCAGCCAGCTGGTTTTCCTCCTCAACACACACAGAGCTTGCTCACCCACTGCTCCTCTCTCAGAGGCTCCTATGGAAGCTTCCAGGCCACTTATGTTTCCACACCCACACCCGCAGCTCATTGTCCCTGCAGCAGCCAGGGGGGACTCCCCCAAACTAAACTCACCCTTGGCCTTGCCTCTGCTGAAAACCTTCCTCTGGCTCCTTGCAGCCCCCAGGGGAGTCTGGGCTCCTCAACAGGACACACAGGGCCTCTGTCAGTTGGCCTTGCCCAGCCCCCCAGCTTCCTGCCCCTGCCACTCCACCTTGCCTTCTCCCACACTCCACCTCCAGCTGCACTGGGCTTCCTTCGGTTCTTTACCTTTTTGCCCCTGAGCCTCTCACATGCTGTTCCTTCTCCCGGAATGCTCATCCCCATCCCCTTTTCCTGGCTGTCTCCTCCTCTCCAGGTCTCAGCTGAGGCTCCACCTCCACCAGGGAACCTTCCTGACTCCCCCAGACTGCGGTAGGCACCTCCTCTTTGTGCCCGCTGCCCCACTGCTTACTCTGACTGCCTTGTGTTATAATCACCAGGTTATTTCCGGGGCCCCCAAGAGCAAGGACAACTCCGCCATCATTCATCATCTGTCCCCTGTGTCCAGCCCAGGGACTGGCATGTCACTTGGTAAATGTCTGTCCAGTGAGTGAATGAATGATGAATGGGGCTGCACTATTACTTCCTGTGCAGCCCAGCCTCTGGCCCCTGAACCTCCCAGAAGACGGCCAGGCATTCTCTGTCCATCTGGGCCCCCGTGATTTGAAGGGCTTCCAGTGCTGACTCATCCTGAGCCCAGGCCCAGTTCTGCTGGGCACAGCAGTGGGCTGAGACAGTTGCTGGGCTGAGTGGTGAAATGCCCCGAGGCCAGCCATGTCCCTCCGCCTGTCTGAACTTGTTAACTCCAGGGAGAAGATGCTCTGTGAGGATGGCAGCTGAGGGGTCCCCTGTCAGCTCCCCTCAGCTCTCCACCCTGCTGCCCATCCTATTTTGCAGGTCTCCACTGACCTGCCACCTCCTCCAAGAAGCCTCCCCTGATTGCCCAAACTGAACTCACCCTGTCAAGGAGTTCATCCCGGCCCTTCATGTTTCCTTTGTGGCCTCTCCCATGATCTGTCACTACCTAACTCATCAGCTTGTTTTCTGGGTCACTCTCTGCCTCCCTAATTCTCTAGGAAGCCCTATGAGGCCATAGACTACCCACTACCTACACCTTGGCAACCTCAGGGCCCAGCATAGATGTTCCCTAAAGGAATGAATGAATGAATTAATGAATGAATAAGGCAAGTGTAAAGTGGACAAGAGCATAAGCTCTGGGGACAGGCACACTGGGGTTTGAGTCCACACTGGGGTTTGAATCCAGCTGCTGTTGCTGACCTGCAGGTGGTCTTGGGCAAGGGGCTGCCTCTTCCTGAGCCTCAGTTTCCCTGTGTGCATTTATCTGTGCAGGTGGTGCACTTAATCCAGGCCCAGCCCCCAGGAAGTCTCTGTCGTGGCCACCTTTTCTTGCTCAGAGGTGCAGGACAGTGCCCCGGAAGGTAGTCACAGGGTGGACAGATGGCCTTGGGCCTGGCAGCAGAGTTCTAGGGAACCAGGTGCACCAGTCACTGAATTCCCTCTCCCACAGCTCCCCACTAAGCCTTGGCAGACCCCCAGTTCTGACTACCTGTCCTGTTTGCCTATCTGCTGAGCAGTAGGGTCTCCCCATTTGATAGAAGGGAAGACTGAGGTCCAGGCATGCTGATGGAAAGCATAGACTTACAGATCCTTGGAGCCAGTCAGGCCCTTACGTGAAGCCATGTGGACCAGCACTCTTGCTGTCCAGATAGGGAAAACAAGGTGCCACAGAGGGCCAGGGTGCACCAAGCTGCCCCAGAGGGCTGGGCCAGTGAGGCTGCTTCCCAGACCTTGGAGGCAGGGCCTAAAGGCCGGGAGGGGCTGGTTTTCCCTCGTGCTAGTGCCCCAACCCTGGGCTCCACCGGAGGCTGTGGAGCTGTCAGGTGGGATCAGCAGGGGCCTGGCCTGATCTCCCCAGATTTAATTAACAGGCCTTTCATCTTTGTCCTGAAGGAATCTTATCTTCTGTCTTCTTAATTAACGTTCATTAAGCAAATCAGAACAGGATTTTCTCCCTCCTTTCTTTGCCTGGAAGGTTTTAACCCTTGGTAGGTGGGCTTCAAGGAGGGGGTCCACCACTTTTGTTTGCATCCCAAAGCCTCTACCCAGACTCCCCAGGTACCCAGCATGAACACATCCTCCATCAGCCACACAGATATTGGCCCTTTCTCCCACACCACCTCTGTGCTGGCCCCCTGGATACCACTCCATCCATCTTCCTGAAGGAAATTGGCATAGACTCTACTGTTCAAGAGCCCTCTGAGGCTCCCTGCCACAACTAGGACAATGTGTTAGGACAAAGGGCAGGTTGTGGGATTGGGTCTCAAAGCTCCAGGCTGCAGGGAGACTGAGGCCTGTGGCTCTGCAAAGACCTGTATTTTAGGTCATGTGTGCGCAGCAAGGGCCCCTGGCTGCATGGCACAGATGCCTTTGCTGGGGTCATGGTGTGTCCTGCTGGGAGGTGACACGCAGAGCCTTCTCTTGATGGAGAGTCGGCAGCATGCAACTTGTTGTCTAGTGTCCCAAATGGTGACCTCTGCAGTTCTCCTGGATCGTTCTGAATCCC